TATCTTTTTCTTAACCTCTGTTATCTTGAAAAATAACACAGATTAATCTTTTGTTGAAGAATTCCGATGGTGTTGCGGGGATGGGAAGTCCACGGGGGTATTGTGTTCCCAGGTTTCTGAGTCTGCATATGCTATAGTAGCTTTCTGCTTCTTCTATTAATCAGTATTTTCCCTTTGTCTCTCAGGGTTTATGGTCCAGCAGAGTCTCAGAGTGCGGTCTTTGGAGATGTGCGCCCCCTACTCACGTCTCTCTTGGATGGGTGAGTAAAAATACTTTGAAGGCCAGTTATCATAGTTACATTTGAATATAAAGAAGCTTCATTGTGCTGTGGAGTGAGAATGTCGCATTAGAGTCTGAGCATTTTACAGCACTGCAGAGCATGTCCGTGGGTCACCCAGCGTGGACTCCGCTTGCATCCATGGAGACTATCTCCACAGCCTGGGAAAAGCAGTGAGAATGATTTGGAGAATGCTTGTTAAATGAGTATATCCACCTGGGATTCCAAACTCCATTTTAGTTACACTGTATGTGGGCTTAAGCCTGTGAATGCAGCTGCCATTCTCTCTGGGATTCTTTTATATTTCAGAATTTTAAAAAAAAAATCTGTAAGGAATGTTAACGTCAGATTTAGGGACTTTTCCCTTTGGGAATCAGCCTTCTATTCTTGCAATATACAACTACTGATGTCAAAGGCAGCGGGTCGTAATTTAGGAATGAAGAATATTTTTTTACTTAATGGAGACACCTTAAGCCCATATTTTCCACTCCGGGGCATTTTGAAGAATCTCAGTTTTCTGGCAGAAATCCACGTCAAGTTCCTGACGAAGATTCCTTACTTGCATTTGTCCAGCAAAGCCTTCTGCACAGCCAGCCGCAAGGAACCTCAAGGACCCAGAAACTGTAATTACACAGTGTGCTGCGCGCCCCAAAGGCGCATGATCCGACCAGTAGGTCAACTCAGGAAGCTCCTGCGTCTGACCGCGCGCGCACGCGGGGCCGCTCTGCCAATCATGATGCAGTTGCTGCTTCAACTCTTCCTCCAGAAGGCTGGAATTTTTATACCCATCTGAAGAAATGGTTTTGAAAATGATAGGGGAGTCTCCTTTCAAATAGACATCTTTTAAGTAAGCAGATTCCAGAAATAAGAAAGACATCGTGGTCACAGTGATCACTGCCAGAACTGCCTTTCCAGGATAACGCGAAACAGATGGAGTTAGTTTAAGTTCTGAGTCTTGTCAGCAAAAAGAGTCAAAGTCTGTAAAATGTTGGGAGAGATTTATCCTGAGCCAAATATGAGTGACCGTGGCCCAGGTCACAGCCCAGGAGGTCCTGAGAACATGTGCCGAACGTGGTTGGGCACAGTTTGGTTTTATACATTTCAGGGAGACATGAGACTTCAATCCAGTTCATTTAAGAAATGCATTGGCTCCGGAATGTCTGGGTTAAGGTAAAGGATTATGGAGACTAAAATTCTTATTTGCAGAGGAAGCCTTCATGTGGCAGCTTCAGAGAGAACGGATCGTAGATGTTTCTTACCAGATGTAAGGTCTGTGTCGATGTTAACGATGTTAACGCTGGAGGATATCATGAAGCTTGTCTGGCCCCCACTTCCTGTCGTGGCCTGAACCAGACTCTGAGATAAAATTTTAGAGTGCCCTGGCCAAGGAGGAAGTCCATTCAGATGGCTGGGGGCCCTTAGAATTGTATTTCTGGTTTACAGCCTCCTTCTTCAGGAAGTTTCCTTTTACTCTACATTCTTAAATGGTTGAAAGACCCCTGTAAGAACCCGTTTATCTGTTGTGGTCAAAGATATTCTCCACACAAAGAAATGCATGTAAATGAATTCAGGGAAGCCGGAAGAGACGTAGCCTGTAGTGGGGTTTTGTTATGCATGCCTTGAGACTTTTTAATCCTGGAAGGAAAACTCGCAGGATGGTAACGGAGAGGCCTGATCAGTTTGGCGGGAGCATGTGGTTTCCAGGCTCTTGTGGCTGGAATGTAACAGTCAACCATGGTGACTTGAACAGTCAGCCCCAGGACTGGGCTCTGCTGCTTTTCCTATCCTGTTCTAGGGGCGATTTAGATGTCAGTCAATGAGAACACTGTGTCACATTCATTTTGTCAAAACAACAACCTTTATTTGTTTGACTTGTGGTGGATACACCACATTTAACCGGTATTGATAAATCGGAGTCACACTTGACCAGTTAAGTCAGAATTTCTGAGTGCAGGACTTGCTGAATGTCCCCAGGTGACTTGGACGAGGGGTCAGGGCTGGAGATCCTGCTCTGAGGCATGAACCCGCTTAACATCAGGTCAGGTGGACCCACACCTTTACAACCACGAACATCTTCAACATCGTGACTGAGAAGATGATTTTCTATTATACTTATTGTAAATAGTCTTCCAAATATTACCGATCCTCCCATTCATACTTTGGGCTAAACAGCACAACTGGAAGGAAATGTGGGGATCTGTTGGTAGTTCTTATCTTCTCTGAAATAAGCTGCAGTCAGCTAATCGAGGGTCTTGGGGCCAAGAGGCGGCAGGTGCTACTATCACAGAGAGCACCTCAGCACATGTGGATTGACTGTGGACATGAACACCTCAAAGTCCCTTCCAGTTACAAAGTACAAAAATAGTTTTTGTATGAAAACGTATACAAAAATGACTCATGCTTGTAATCCCAGCACTTTAGGAGGCTAAAGCAGGAGGATCCCTTGAGTCCAGGAGTTTGAGACCAGCCTGGCCAACATGGCGAAACTCTGTCTCTACTAAAAATACAAAAATCAGCTGGGCTGATCTCAGCTACTCGGGAGGCTAAGGCAGGAGAATCGCTTGAACCCATGAGGCAGAGGTTGCAGTGAGCTAAAATTGAGCCATTGCACTCTAGCCTGGGTGACAGAGCAAGAAAAAAAAGAAAAAAAAAAAAAAGATAGTTACAGTGAAGGTATGCGGATTTAGGAAGGCCTTGCTAAGGCCAGAATCCCTGTGTGAATGCTAAACGGGAGAATGGGGAGATGGAAATGCCCAGGAGAAACAGGGAAGGATGAACTCACGCTGTGTGTGTGTGTGTCAGTGCAAATACCGTTTAATCCAATATTGTACAATAAGATAGCAACCAGGATGGATTGTGCAAAAAAAAAATAGTTGTGGTTAAATGAAAACGTAATTTATAAGAAATGGAGTAACAGGGGAATAGGGAATGAAATTTATTGAAGTTTCTCAGACAAGTGAAAATTTTTCCTGGAATCTTCTTGGCACTAGCCCTCCGTGTGTTTTGCTGGACTGAATCTGCTCTGAATTTTAGGTACAATGTTTGTGTTATGGCGTATGGACAGACGGGCAGCGGGAAGAGCTATACCATGTTGGGACCCCATTCGGATGATGGCCCTGTGTTGCCGCTTGACCCACAGAGTGACTTAGGAATTATCCCTAGAGCAGCTGAGGAGCTCTTCAGGTACCGCTGATGGTGATGAGTGGGGCAGAGAAATATGGCAGGCAAGCCAGGCAGTCAGCACCTTGGTTATCACACGGCAAAAATTATTACCACTTTTTTTTGAAGAAGGTGGTCAAACCCCATAACCTCATCAGATACATTCAACACTACCAAGCGCTTCCATACTTCTGGGCATTATTGCTACCAATTCCTGTGATGAAATTTTGTTCAGATTCTATCATTAAGACAAAGCTTTTTTGAGTCTTTAATTTTTTTAGCAACAAGGTCTTGCTTTGTCACCCAGGCTGGAGCGCAATGGTGCAATCTCGGCTCACTACAACCTGTGCCTCCTGGGTTCAAGCAATTCTCCCTCCTCAGCCTCCCTAGTAGCTGGGATCACAGGTGTGCCCCACCACGCCCAGCTAATTTTTGTAGTTTTAGTAGAGATGGGGTTTCGCCATGTTGGCCATGCTGGTCTCAAACTCCTGACCTTAGGTGATCCACTCGCCTCGGCCTCCGAAAGGGCTGGGATTATAGGCATGAGGCACCGTGCCTGGCTAAGACAAAACTTCTTGAAAGAGATCCCAAGTTAGAGGGTTTCCTAGGTAGGGGTGGAGGTGGGGGATGGTGGGGGATGGAAGTTTTCTGTCCTGGAATGGGAAACACAGAGGCAAAACTCCCATTCTTCCGTCGCCCTTCCTCCTGCCGCCATCAGGAGTGTATGCATCCACTTCTCTTTAGGGGTCCAGCCAACATGGCCTGCGAAGATGCTCCCGACTGTTAGCACATTTTCGAAAGAGAGCCACTGCCCGTGTCATGATTTCACCAACAAAATTAGTCCTAGAAAAAAAGAATAGTAAAAAGTCATTTCAGCAGCCGGGTGCGGTGGCTCACATCTGTAATTCCAGTGTGGTGGGTTCTTGGTCTCGCTGACTTTAAGAACGAAGCGTGGACCCTCATGGTGTTACAGTTCTTAAAGATGGTGTGTCCGGAGTTTGTTCCTTCAGATGTGTCCGTAGTTTCTTCCTTCTGGTGGGTTCGTCTTCTCGCTGACTTCAGGAGTGAAGCTGCAGGCCTTCGCGGTGGGTGTTACAGCTCTTAAAGGCAGTGCGTCTGGAGTTGTTTGTTCTTACCAGTGGGTTCGTGGTATCGCTGGCTTCAGGAGTGAAGTTGCAGACCTTCGCGGTGAGTGTTACAGCTCATAAAGGCAGCATGGACCCAGAGAGTGAGCAGCAGCAAGATTTATTATAAAGAGCGAAAGAACAAAGCTTGCACAGTGTGGAAGGGGACGCGAGCGGGTTGCCACTGTTGGCTGGGGCAGCCTGCTTTTATTCCCTTATCTGACCCCACCACATCCTGCTGATTGGTCCATTTTACAGAGAGCTGATCCATCTATTTACAGAGAACTGATTGGTCCATTTTACAGAGAGCTGATTGGTCCATTTTGACAGAGTGCTGATTGGTGCGTTTACAATCCCTGAGCTAGACACAGAGTGCTGATTGGTGCGTTTACAATCCTGTAGCTAGACAGAGTGCTAGACAGAAAAGTTCTCCAAGTCCCCACTAGGTTAGCTAGATAGAGAGTACTGATTCATGTATTTACAAACCTTGAGCTAGACACAGAATACTGATTGGTGTATTTACAAACCCTAAGCTAGACACAGAGTGCTGATTGGTGCATTTACAATCCTTTAGCTAGACGTAGAGCACTGATTGGTGCATTTTTAGAGTGCTAATTGGTGCATTTACAATCCTTTAGCTAGACACAGAATGCTGGACAGAAAAGTTCTCCAAGTCCCCACTAGGTTAGCTAGATACAGAGTACTGCCAAGTGGTGAGACTCGCCTATCGCCAAGTGGCAACCCGCTCAGGTCCCTTTCCACACTGTGGAAGCTTTATTCTTTTGTTCTTTACAATATATCTTGCTGCTGCTCACTCTTTGTGTCCACACTGTCTTTTTGAGCTGTAACACTCACTGCAAAGGTCTGCAGCTTCACTCCTGAAGCCAGTGAGACCACGCACCCACCAGAAAGAAGAAACTCGAAACACGTCCGAACGTCAGAAGGAACAAACTCCAGACACACCATCTTTAAGAACTGTAACACTCACCGCTAGGGTCCACAGCTTCATTCTTGAAGTCAGTGAGACCAAGAACCTACCAATTCCGGACACATCAGCACTTTGGGAGGCCGAGGCAGGAGGATCACGAGGTCAGGAGTTTGAGCTTGCATGAGTTGTGCATGTCATTAAATATTCGACCAGTCATTTTTCCTTCTGCTAAGCAAACTCTTTAAGTTCCAGAAACTTTAAGTCTCAGGCAAGAGCACTGGGGAACTGAGGTAGAAAGTGGGAGAGAATGGTGGGAGTTTCCAGACTCCCTCCCCACCCCGCGCCGCGTTTCTTCTCATCTGTGAGAGCGGGGACACCGTGGTGGAACGAGGCAATGTGGCCAGGCAGCACGTCCCAGAGGTGGACTTCCTAGTGTTCCCAGCCTGAGCTGCATGCTTGCTTCCAAGGCCATTTCCACCCTCAGCTGGGCTTAGAGACGCAGGATGCACAGCCAGTGAGAGCAGGCCTCATACTTTGACCTATGGAAGCATACCCAGGATGGCAGAGGGCTGCGAGGGGGCGGGAGCGGCGCTGTGGAGGTGGGGGGAGCGGAGCAGCGCTGCCGGGGCGGGAACTGCGCTGAGGGAGCGAAGGGCTGTTAGCTGCCTAAAAATGTTGGGGAAGATCCATCAGGACCATGGCCAGTGGGCTGGGCCTCTCCAGAAACCGGATAATCAGCGTTGCCAATGGGCCCGTCGCATAACTGGCAAGCGTTTCAGTCGCCTCCTTTCTGAAATGGTTTTTCCGTTTTGCTGTTCTGAGCCTCGGGTGCTGTGCGTCTCCCTCCAGGGCACAGTGTTTTGTGGCACTGGAATCCCTCAGTCTGAGTCTCAGAATCTCTGCTCTTCCAAGTGAATGGCCCCGGGCAAGGCCCTACTCTCCCTGTACCTCTCTTTCCTCGTTTGCAGAAACGAGAATCCGAGCAGACACGGACCGTGTCCTCCCTCGTCACATCTACACCTGGAGAGGGGTGCGCTGGGCCAGGGCTGGGGGTGAGCTTGGGTGTTCGTGACTCAAGTTGCAAACGGCCCTCTGCCCGAAATGATACACAACCACAGTGACGTCAGTGCTGATGTCGGAGATAGTTTACAGGAACCCTTGACCCTGAAAACCACTACTCTTAGATTGCTGAAGACACCAGAGAAGCCATTTCCTGTTGTTTTAAAGTAAATAAAATGCTACTGCCTGGATTCCTTGGCTCTGCACGTCCCTCTCCTTCCTTCTAAACCTGGTTGTTGACACCGCCTCCTTCCCGACTGGTCTCCGCTGTCATCCTAATCAACAGGAGTGTGTGGTGTTTCTCTACCTGCTACGCACCGTCAGAGGCACAAGGGATCCAAAAGTGCATGTGATCAGTTTTCTGCTTTTAAAAAGTCTAGAGTGGAAATGGGTAATTATGACCCAGTAGGAAATGGGCAGGAAAAGATGGCAGAGACAAAGCATGGCCCTGCCCCTCCCCACCCCAGAGAATCGGGGAAGCTGCCGGTGCATTTGAATCACACCCATTCATCGCAGGACCTGGAGTCCTTTACCTGTGTGTCTCCTTCTCAACACTTTGCTGCTTAAAAGCTAAGACTGAAGCTTGTGGTTTTCACTGTTGTCCCTAGAATCTAGTCAACAGCCCGATAATTACTTGTGGGAAATCTCTGAAATTAACTCCTCGGTATTATGTAATTGAGAAATTTCTAACTTAGGTTTTGCGACACTCCAAGAACAAACTGTCACATAAAGGATGGGCCCAAGTGTGGAGGTTAAGTTTCTGGCTATGTGGTGCATTTTTACCTAACGTGTGGAGAGGAGGAGAATGTAGAAACTCTAGGCTGGGCACAGTGGCTCACACCTGTAATCCCATAACTTTGGGAGGCTTAGGCGGGTGGATCACCTGAGGCCAGGAGTTCGAGACCAGCCTGGCCAACATGGCGAAACCCTGTCTCTACTAAAAATACAAAAACTAGCCGGGCATGGTGGCGGGCACCTGTAATCTCAGCTACTCAGGAGGTTGAGGCAGGAGAATCAACTGAACCTGGGTGGCAGAGGTTGCAGTGAGCCGAGAATGTGCCTCTGCATTTCAGCCTGGGTGACAGAGCAAGACTCTGTCTCAAAAAAATAAACAAATATAAAGTAAAATAAAATCTGTAGCTAACTTCATTTTTCACTGTTGCACACACTCTTCTTAGAGTGTTCTCACCTAACCCCAGTGCTGAACCTGTCGAATCCAAATCTTGATGCTTTGCCAATAATGATTTTTACCTTAAGAGTTTTACTTACTTTCTCTTTCATTTTAGTCTTCATCATTTTCTTTACTGTTTATCATTAGAAGACAAAACTCCTCTAGATCTGGATGAAAAATTCAGCCTAGCAGCGCCTGGGTGGGAAACATCCCGACTGGATTTTCCCTCGAGTACAGATAGCACCCTGTCACTCGGGACTTCCTGCCCGGTTCTGAGAATAGCCTTAGGAACAAGAAAAGCACAATGCTCACTGTGGGATTGACATCACCTTGCACGAGGTAGAGAGGCAGCCACCTCCAGCAGACAGAAAGAGGCCTTTGTTATTTGGTGACAAGGTTGGAAGGGGAGTTTTTTTAGAGACAAACCAGAAAGCCAGAGGGAGGAAAGAGGAAGGGAGGGAATCCAGGGTTAGCACTCACCTTTTCCTTGTTGTGGGATTACAGTTTTCTTTCTCTCTCTCTCTCTCTCTGTAGTATCTTTATTTAAAAACATTCCTATAGTCAGCACATAGTTCTTTAAAACATGGAGCAAACTAAGATGTGCAGCTGCTTTTGCTTTTTGAGACGGAGTCTCGCTCTGTCGCCAGGCTGGAGTGCAGTGGTGCGATCTCAGCTCACTGCAACCTGCACCTCCCAGGTTCAAGCGATTCTCCTGCCTCCGCCTCCCAAGTAGTTGGGATTACAGGCACACAGCACCACGCCCAGCTAAGTTTTGTATTTTTAGCAGAGATGGGGTTTCACCAGGTTGGCCATGATGGTCTCGATCTCTTGACTCGTGATCCACCCGCCTCGGCCTCCTGAAGTGCTGGGATTACAGGCGTGAGCCACCGCGCCCAGCTGTGCAGCTGTTTTTTAAAGAGCCAGAGTTAGTTTGATGGGTCTTACTTGCAGGAAAGTTGCAGTTGGAAGGCATAAGTGGAATTGGAATAAAGAAGCTTCCCTGAAGTGGAAAAGTTTTAAAATAAGCAAACCCCATCACTGGAGAAGTGCTAGAGGCCCAAACATCCTTGCACCTTGCCTTGGGTGTCTGCAGTGACCGATCAGTGGGGCATGGTAATTTCTAGACCACAGCCATGTGATATTCAGGCTTCTTTGCCCTGTGTATTTAGAATCCTCAGTGTTCTGGTTGCAAAGCTGTTGGTTTAAATATAACTCTGATAAAATAACTGCTCCCAAGACACGTATTCACCCTACAACCTAAATGGCACACCCCCTTTCCCCGAGTGATCTTGGGGTGAGTAACGTGCAGCCCTCTGCTCGGACCCCAGCAGTCTTACTGAGCATCCTCTAGGGCATCTGGAGCTGTGATTGGCTTACACTGAAAATCACTCTGTGAGACTTTCTGTAAGTTTCTCTTGTGTGTTTTCCCGCAGGCTCATTTCGGAAAATCCCTCAAGAAGCCCAAAGGTTGAAGTCTCCATAGTGGAAGTTTACAATAATGACATTTTTGACCTCCTGGCCAAAGACACTGTTGCAGCAGTGTCGGGGGTCAAGCGTGAGGTGATGACAGCCAAGGACGGACGAACAGAGGTTGCGCTGCTGGCCTCTGAGTGAGTACTGCACTTGCCCTGTGCTGCTGGCCTCTGAGTGAGAATGGCACCTGCCCCATGGTCAGGAGGCTGGACGTCTCTAAACGAGCTCCCCACCCCCAAGGATCCCAAGGAGAATCGGCCGTGGTGGCCCAGTCAGTGCTCCTTGTCACTGAGTGATTCCTTGTGTGTTTTCATGCTTCGTATGTGTTGCACAATTGTCAATTTGCTGTAAGAATGATCTTTCTTTAAAGTTGGGTATGTCGGGATGATATATTTGTTAATTAGCTGGAATAGGTGATCATTTCACAGTGTATTCACATATCAAAATATCAAGGTGTATACTTTAAACATATACCATTTTCATACGTTATTAATATCTTAAAACTGTTAGAGATAAAAGTAAAAACAAAATATTTTTACAATCAAAATTAAAATAAATAAACGTAGCCTTGAAAAAATCTTCGTAAGAGCACCTTGGACGGGCGTCATCCCATCTCACAGATGAGGAAGCAGGCTTGCAGAGGTGGAAGAACTTGCCCACCCCACTCAGGCTAGGAGAGATGAACTTACCCATATTTGTAAATATCAGTATTTCATAGAATATGTAATGAATCCTCTTACAAAAGTGAGGATCCCCCATATTAAGTATTTTCCTCAAAGTTCCCTATTTTCAAATCCACATGCATGTGCTGGATTTGCCCCAAAGGGGGTGCAGCTGGGAGCTGACAAAAGGAACCCTCCCCACGAGTGAGGGCCCGGAGAGGCTGCCCATCCTGGGCCCCAGAGGCAGCAAGGGAAGGGCCCGCCAGCCATGCCGAATATTTCACAGAGCTGAAGGAAATCATCCGTGCAACCCTGATACGGTCACACAAAGTCACCTGAAATTTGAGCCTTTGACTGACAGCTGTGATGGAAATGTTATCTCCTGCTGATTAAGAGCTCTGATTAGCAGTCATATCTCATCCACTAACATGGGGAAATGGGTTAAACCTTTATTTCATAAATCAGATTGGATGCACAAAATACTTTTAAAACATGGTCACTGGAGGCTCTAATAAATAAAGGAATAGTTGATGTTGAAAAGGTTAGCAACCTCTGATTTTGTTCGGAAGCAGTCCATTATTTCAGGGTTAGCGATTAGAGATGCTATAGGTTGGTTAGGCCTCGAAAGGAAAAAGTTTGCTTTACCATGTTTTGTTGTGCCCAGGACTGGCTTTAGTCCCCCATTGGCATGCGTGGCTCATGTGAGAGGAGCCGAGGAGGCTTGGAAGTCGCCTTGGGTAAGGGGGGCCGCCCGTGCTGTGTTCCCCACTGCTTGTCTTGTCTGTAGGGCTGTTGGCAGCGCCTCAAAACTGATGGAGCTCGTTCGTGGAGGTCTGCAGCTCAGAGCAAAGCACCCCACCCTGGTGCATGCGGATTCTTCCAGGTCTCACCTGATAATTACAGTGACTCTAACAACAGCCGCCTGCTCTGATAGCACTGGTAAGTCACCATTTGTGCTTGGTCAGTGGCAAGTAATAGAAAAACCCACTTAAGGAGAAAAAAAAAAAAAATCAGGCCAGGCGCAGTGGCTCACGCCTGTAATTCCAGCACTTTGGGAGACTGAGGTGGGTGGATCACCTGAGGTCAAGAGTTCGAGACCAGCCTGGCCAACATGGTGAAACCCTGTCTCTACTAAAAATACAAATATTAGCTGAGCATGGTGGTGCACACCTGTAATCCCAGTGACTCAGGAGGCTGAGGCAGGAGAATAGCTTGAACCCAGGAGGCAGAGGTTGCGGTGAGCCGAGAGTGTGCCACTGCACTCCAGCCTGGGCAACAGAGCAAAAACTCTGTCAAAAAAAGAAGGAAGAAGAAGAAGAAGAAGAAGAAGAAGGAGAAGGAGGAGGAGGAGGAGGAGGAGGGGAGGAGGAGGAAAAAAGAAGGGAGAAAGGAGAAGAAGAAAAATCAGTGTGCCTGCAGCATCCAAGGCCTTTCACAGGACCCAGCATGGGAATACCAGCCACACTGTTTCACTATCTGCATCCCAAACCGAAAAGGCCACTGGGATCACAGGCTGAGAAGAAAAAGTGAGAATGGGAGGGAGGAAAACACTCTGCTAAATAAAATATAACACAGAGAGAAAAGCAGGGCATAATACACTTTGGAGTACATGCATTTGTCATGGAAGAAACAATGAGTGTAGTTTCAGTTTAAAACCCAAATTACAAACTGTGCAGTAGATGAAATGATTTCAGTTACGTAATGTATCAGAAAGAACACAAAGGCCTGTGAAGCCTGGGCTGCAGCTCTCCAACTTGAGCTGCGTCCAATCCCCTGCAGCAGGTGGTGGGAACAAATAGCAGACACCACCCATGCTCAGGTTCAGCAGGGCTGGGACTAGACCCCAAACGTGTGTTTCTGCAAGAGCACGGCTCCGGGGACCACACCTGGAGAACCACGGGTCTGGGGCTGGAACATGAGACTGTAGTCCCGTTGAAACCTGGTCTCAGTGGGTTGACACGGGAAAGGCAATTTCTCACTCGTATCGAGGGCCAGTGTGGCTGAACATTCCCCATCTGTCTTGCCACCGTGGCACTTGAAACATGTGACCTCCAAGGTTGCTCGGGCAACGGAAGGTGAGGTGACGGGGACGTGCTGACAGTAGCCCCTGGCAGCCCAGAGCAGGCCACAGCTGGGCACAGGGCCTTGTACCCGCAGGGGGCTGGCAAGGCACAGGCGCCTGATGTTTAGGGAGCACCAACAATCTCTACCAAAAACACTCCCGATACAGGGGAGGCGTGGCTGCCCTTGGTGGTGGGAATAAGACTGGATTTCATGTCCTTAAAAAAAAATTGTATGTACTTTCTATGTTTTACACACTGAGTAAATGTTATCTTGCTTTTTAAAAAACCCTAAGAAGTTTGTGTAGGAATAACACACTACAAAGACATTTGCATTAAAATGAAGAGCCCTTTTGTTAGGATTTGTGTGGAAGATTATCAAGCAGATTGTAGAATTTATTTCTAAAAGGGCTCATAGATTTTCTGAGTGGGATTTTAATTAACATCATTATCAAGTCTTTCTAAGAAGCATTATTTGATTTCCTTTGGGCCAATGAGGCATTAGTTCAACCTTCCACAGTGAAGAAAGCTGCTTTCTAGCTTGCTGTGTTTTCCCCCCGAGAAGCCACTATCCCCTGGACCTCTGCTGAAATCCCACTTTTTACTGGGTGGGAGGTGTGGGCGGGAGGGTGCAGTTCAGAAGCTTCTCAGCCTTGACCAAGGCAAAGCACAGCCTCATGGGTTCATGCAACTGTTTTCCTCCTCCTTGCTCCCCTTGCAGCAGACCAAGCCTGCAGTGCTACCCTCCCCAGGGAGCAAACAGAGGCAGGAAGGGCAGGAAGGAGCCGCAGAACTTCTCAAGGGGCCTCAGCTCCACAGCTGGTTCCCAGGGACCCCGCAGGGCATGCGGAGCAGGTGCAGGCCCGGCTGCAGCTCGTGGACTTGGCGGGCAGCGAGTGCATTGGTGAGCAGGAACAGGCATTTCCCTGGGTGGTGGACTCTGCAGAAGCCTGTGATCTGATGGAGCTGGGTGTACAGCCAGGCAGCCTGGGAAGCTCTGGGCGGGCCAGGCGTTTCCCCTCCACAGATGAGTTCCAAATCCCCATTACATTCTCAGGGGTTGGTTCTCTTACCCCGGCAACCCGAGAGTCGTGTTCCTCACGCTGGCCCTCTGGGAAGAGAAAACCTGAGTTCCCAGCAGGAGCTCGCTTTGAGCAGAGCCATGCAAGACCCTCGCTCTAATGCCCGTCCCGTCCATGGCCTCCCCTCTACCTGTCTGAAAGCCACTCCTCCCAAGGAGCTGGTTTTGCTTTTCCTGCCTTCCTTCTTGGTGCAAATGGTGATGGTGCGTGGCGGTCCCTGTCCTGTCCCAGGTGTGTCCGGGGTGACCGGGTCGGCCCTGAGGGAGACAGCGTGCATCAACCGCAGCCTTGCAGCCCTGGCAGACGTCCTGGGGGCTTTGTCGGAGCACCGCAGCCACATCCCGTACCGGAACCACAGGCTCACCCACCTCCTTCAGGACTGCCTCGGTAACCGTTTTCCCCCAAATCTCCCAAGATGGGACACCACGTGCCCCAGGACACGTGCACACACGTCCAGCCTGCACATCCTCGAGGGCCACCCGTGTACCCCCTGCACCTCCTGTGCCCTCGCTGTGGCTAGCTGGCACTCCCATGGCACAGTGGTCATTCTCCCGCACTGTCTCACCTCGGCCTGGTTGCTTGCTTGTTTGGTCTGTGTGTGACTTGCCTATTGGTCGGACTCAGTTTCTCAAGGGTGGCAGCCCTGACCCCTCTCTTCACCAGGGAGTCCACCAGGGCAGCTGAGGGCTCTCTAAGCTGCTGCTGTGTGTGTGGCGTGGGTCCCTCCAGCTGTATGGACCTGCTTAGGCTGCAAGTTCCTTGGGTCTTTTGGGGGCAGGTGCCAGAAGCCTGGACGCAGCAGATGAAGCATCAGTGCCAGGTGGGGCACAGGCAGCCTCCGTGCAGAGTCATCCAGCTGTGACTGGATCTGGGCTTTGCAGTTTGCGGGGGAGCTCAGTTAGTGCCCCCTCCCCCCACTCAGACTCCAGACCGGTTGAAAGGGAGGACCCGAGGAAGCATTGCTGCTGCTGGGTGGCCTCTGCCAGGGCTGGGCTTCCTGGCTGAGGGTCCAGGTGGAGTCCCCCAGAGGTGGCCCTGGGCCCTGTAGGCCCTGTCCTGAGAAACGGCCACCGCAGGACGGCAGGGGCACGTGGCCACCACAGTGGAGGCTCCTCCTTCCTGGGAGGACCACCCTGGGAGGTGGTGGAGGGGCCACTGGTGGTGCTCGGGACTCGGGGAGGCCAGAATGTTCCAGACGCTATCCCTGTCTCTCATTGTGGGGTATTTCCCCCTCTCATGGCAAACTGGCTTCCTCCACACGGTGAATAACGGGGCTGTTCACAGAATCATATTTTTGGATTCTACCTCTAAGACAGAGACCACCTGGTACTCTTGGATTCCAAAGCTTGTAGCCCCAACCGAGAGACGGGGCAACCTAGGCTGGGTGCACAGCCCACCGTGATCTCAGGGGCGGCACCACAGGGCACACAGTGCCCGAGAGCCAGCAGTTCCCTCAGGGAGCCCCGGCCTTGGCCTCTGGGGTCTGCACTTTTCCTCCCCTTAGCTCTCCCTGCCTTCTCCGTTGGTTTTGGTTTCCATCTGTCCCGCTTAACCCTTGCTACGGGTCCTGAAGAAAAGGAAGAGACAGAATTCCCCCAGGAGGAGAAGTCCTGGGCACACAGCCCCTGCCCCAGTGGAGCCTGAGGGAGCCACAGGGCCGTGAACAGCAGGTGTGGGCATGAGGGAGCTCTGGAAAACGCAGTCCCAGGGGGCCGAGCGCACCGCAGGGTCATGTGCAGACTCACCGTAGGGCTGACTTCATGCCTCCCTCCCAATTTCCGGGACACAGGAGTGTGAGAAGGCCTGCAGCTTCCCCGGGCGAGGGGTGCTAGTGACTGGCTGCTGACCCTCCCGGACCCGGGTGATGGGTGCTAGTTACCGGCTGCTGACCCTCCCGGACCCGGGCGAGGGGTGCTAGTGACTGGCTGCTGACCCTCCCGGACCCGGGTGATGGGTGCTAGTGACCAGCTGCTGACCCTCCCGGACCTGGGTGATGGGTGCTAGTGACCGGCTGCTCACCCCCCCAGACCCCGCATCCCAGGAGCCTACCAGACGTGGCCAGTTTCCCGCTGGGGCGCCGGGCAGCCCTCTCTGCAGCTGCCCCTCTCGGGCCCTGGTTGCCAGCACGTTGGCACTTCCAGATGCCACTCTTCTTTCCGGCTTGCATGTTGTTTTTCTTTTTTAAAGGAGGTGACGCGAAGTTACTGGTGATTCTGTGCATTTCTCCCAGCCAGAGGCACCTGGCGCAGACGTTGCAGGGCCTGGGTTTCGGGATCCGAGCTCGGCAAGTCCAGCGAGGCCCTGCCCAAAAGAGGCCGCCCAGCTCCCAGATGGAGGGGAAGAGGAGGCTGGATTGAACGCATTAATGAGTTTTTCTCCTAAAACTGTGTGTTTTGTCATTGCTTATAATGCATATGTGCTTAGAAATAAACAGGTTTCATGTGGACTCGATAAACCTGGCTTTATTCCAAAGCACCCTCATGAATGTGGATGGGACCTCCAACTCCTGCCAGACGATCACGCAGAACAGTCTTCACAGAGGAGCTCCTTGCAGAGCGGCGGCCACCAGGTGTCACAGCAGGCACTCGCTGTCCTCATCAGACTCTCCCCAGAGGCCACCCTGGGCCCCAAAGGCCCTGCCCCGGGAAACTCTGGAGCCGGCAGGAACGGCCGTGGGCCACGGCGGCCTCTCCTGTGGTTCCGTGGCACATTTCCCCTGCCTGGGAACCCAGAGTCCGTGGGCCCCGGCGGCGTTCCCTGTGGTTCTGTGGCACATTTCCCCTGCCTGGGAACCCAGAGTCCATGAGCCACGACGGGCTGATACTCGGCTTGGGAGCCCCTCTCCTGTGACAGCCCAGACGCAGAGGCGGTTGCTGGCTGCCCCGGGCCTCCCAGATGGGCACCTGAGGACCCCGGCCTCCTCCTGCTTGGGGTTCAGCCCAAGAACAGAGCTTCTCAGGCCTTCAATCACCGTGGATGGAGCAGGCTTTCCTGGAGGAAGGACGAGCGCTGTCTGGAATTCTCCATCTTCCGTGAAGGAGGCTGAGCGGATGACTGGGGGCCCAGAGGGAGCCATGCTTCAACACAGGCGAGAGAGAACCCGCCCCACCCTGCCCAGGGCCACCATGTCACTGCTTCAGACCAACTGCCCCCAGGAGCAGGATCTGCCGCCTCCCACACCGCACCCAGCAGAGAAAGCTGCGCCCTCAGACCCAGACCCCCGGGGCAACAATGCAGGTTCCCAGTCCCAGCGAGACCCCCAGAAGCAGACTCAGTGGGGCCCCAACAAGCCCTCTGGGTGGTTCTTATGAATCTGGACCTGCTGGCTTGACCGCAGACCTGGCCCTGGCCACAGGACCGGCCACCCCAGCCTTGGTCGTGCGAAGCTGTGATGCGGAGGTCCTTGGCCTGCTCCTCCGGGGTCCGCAGAGACTGGCACAGGTGGGTTTCTTTTCCTGTCCACCGACAGGGTAGGACGGGGACTGAGGACTTTACCCTGTGCCCCTCCCACACCTGCCTGCCTCATGCCACCTGGAGGCCACAAGTCCCCCTGTACACAGCGGCCTCTGTCCATTTGCAGGCCACCCCCAGCCCTGCCCCCTCCCTTCCTTCTTAGGCACCATCCCTGTCCCTACCAGTCGGTGTCCATTTTCCTGCAAAATAGCTGTATTGCCTAAAAGACCTCTGATCTCAATCTGTGCACAAGGAAAGCCTGGCTTCCCCCACTTCCCGCAGCCCGGCTCTGCTGCTGTCTCTGGGAAGGAGGGCCCCTCCCAGGCTGGCCTTCTGCTTCCAGCTCCGCTCCTGCCCCTCCAGGTGTGGGTGGATGTGGGAGGGGGCTGTGGGAAGGGGCGGTGAGCAAGGCTGAGGCTCAAGCCTCAGGGGAGCCTGCCCCAGCCCTGGCTGGGTGTGTCTGAGCCAGTGGCCCACATAGGCTTCATGTGGCCTGCCTGGCCATCCTCTCTTCGGCAAGGCTCAGGGCAGTGGGCCTCTAATTGTCCTCTCCACGTACTCTGAACACCAGAGATTAGAGTCTTCGGAGCAGGCCTACCCGGTAGTTAACAGGCATCTGGCATAATTCTCCATGTCTGTCCACAAGGCCCAGAGGAAGGACAGAAATAGGAATCCCAGTGGGGCCAGAGCGGCTTCTCGGGTCAGCCAAGGGCCATGGCTGCCTCGCCTCTGCCAGGACACAAGGCGCTGGGCCGGCTGCAGTGTGACACTTCCACAAGTTAGGGGTGCGTTGACCCGGCCTTTGCTGCCTCTGGGGTCTATGGCATGTGGCGAAGGTGACTGGCAGGGGAAGCCTGGACATGGGGAGTGTGCACATGCGTGTGTGCCTGTGCAGATGTGTGCGTGTGTGGATGTGTGCGTGTGTGGATGTGTGCGTGCGTGTGCATGTGCGCGTTTAGATCTTAGTTCAGACCCTGCCTCATGGCGGACACCACCTGCTGCATCTCCCCAACACTGGTGTGTGCCTTCCCGTATTGTCTACGGGACTGGGCTGTTGCTTTCGTTTCTTCAAGGGAAGAAGACGGTCATTGCCCCGGACCAGGGCAAATCAATTATCTTGTACTAATGGGAATGGCTTTGGGAAGTGCCCACATGCCCACATGTGAGCCGGCACTAGGCACCCCTCCCCTGTTGCATTGTGGACGGTCTTGCCCTGGGCAGCACTGGGGCTCGTGGCCATCTACAGAACGCAACCTTCTGTGACCGATACCCCTGAGTGAGTTACAGCCGGCATCTCACCAGCCCTCCAGGCAGGCGGGTCCTGGTTCAAGCAGGAGGCATCGCTCGGGTTCTTTATTACACGTGCCTGGGGCACACACAGGATTCCCTTTCACAGAAAGGAGAGGGCCCCCCTGGATGGACCCTGTCAAAGAGGCGGCCTCAATGCACGCGGCCCTGCACCAGGCCATGGGGCTCAAGCTCACGCTTGTCTCCAGTGAGCTGGAGGGTGGTGCGGCGTGGTCTTCACCACACAGACAGTGAAGGGGGCAGTGGTGTTCAGGACACAGGGCTGAACCATTGTGGCCTCTCAGTGCTCTGTGTTGGGCCTGAGACTAGCAGGGATACACAGGCCATTCCTCTAAATGCAGAGGACAGCAGGTTTGCACATGTGCAGGAGTCTCATGCAGGGGGAGGAGCCCTGGGGAGACCCTACCCTGGTGGCCTTCCAGAGCCCACGGTACCGAGGTTGCATTACCCCTGGAGCCCACCGGGGTCAGAGCAGGTGCCATGCATAGCCAGTTCCCCACTCCCCATCTGTCACCAAAGCCTCTCCCCTCTACCAACTGGGCTGCACCAGCCCCAGCCCGGCCAGGGCAATGGCTTAAGGAAGCCACCGGTGAGCAGAGCGGGTCCCGGGGCCTCATGGCTGAGATGGGAACAGAGTCAGCATCAGCTCTGGGGCAGTGGGGTCTTTGGAAGCCCTGACCGGGAACGGAAAACACAGCCATTGACTGCGGATGGTGGAGGAGGGTCTCTGGCTGGATCTCAGGTGACAGAGCTGGGCTTGCACCTCAAGAAGGGCCTCTGTCTGGCAGGCCCAGCGCTGGCGAACACGAGTTAGAGAGAGGGGTTCAGGTCTAGGAGGAGCCTGGGTCCTGCACAGTGATGACCACCGTGAACTCTGGCTCGGGAGCTGTCTCTCGGGGAGCGGGCAGTGTGGGAAACTGCAGAGCCCTCTCTCCAGGGTCTGGGCCCAGCTGCATCACCTTCTCTCCCAGACTAGGATGGGTGACAGGCTGCCTCAGGGGCCAACACCATGGCTTTCTGAACACTCAACAGCCAGACCTTGAACCTGCTCCCTGGAGACCCCGATGGAAGGAGCTCCTGGGTGCACCGAGGACAGGGATGAGGTGCGGGACCTGTTTGTCACCTCCAAGGTTGATGTCAGAGCCACTCCACACCTCTTACAGGTGAACCTGTGGAGCGTGCTGGCTGCGGAGGTGTGGGCAGCGTCCGGCGGGCAGGAAGGGCCGAGGGCCACGTGGCAGTGTGGTGGGCGGGGGCTGAGCCTGGCGGTGCAGACAGCGCTGCTGCGTGGATGGCGCCTACACCACAAACTCCTGTGGGGGTGGGGCCTCTCCGAACAGGTCCAGGGTGAGGCAGTTGCTGGACCTCTTGCTGGGGAGAGTGGCCCTGTTCTCGCAGGGGGCTGCCAGCCCGCAGTCTGGGGCACAGTGGAAGGTACGGCTGGGTGAGGTGGGCGCTGGGTGCAGGGCCAGCTGGTGCAGACGTGTGTCGTCCAGGCTGCGGCTGTGCGGCTCCTCGCTGACCCCGGCTTTCATTTCCCAAATCTGCAGGGAGAGGACATGGGGTGAGGCCTGCCACCCCCTCCTGCTCCCACCACCGCAGACAGCAGCCACACTGCTGGTGGCCACAGAGGCACACTCCTTGCCATTGCTCACCCTGCGCCACTGTGCACGGCCAGCCTGCCCCTGGACGGGCTCCCCCAGCATACGCCTCTGTGAGACAGGCTTGGCGTTTTCTTTTGAAGTATTTTGGGAGGCCCCCACCTTGCCTAGCTTCTTTCCCAGGGCTGCTTTCTGCCTTTTAACTCAGAGGACCTGGACTCTTAGCATTTGGTGTAATTTAGGATCAGGTCTGAGTGTGGGCCTTGAACACCAGCTCTGGAAGCAGCTCCAACGTCAAGAACGGCCTCTTATTTTTATACGGGAGGAAACTGGGTTCAGAGGTGACTGTCCAAGGTCTCGTCCAGCTGGGCGTCCAGTGGGCAGCGTCATGGCCCTTAAGTGACACCTCCAGCCCAAGCTTCTCGGCTGCCATAGTCCCTCAGGTCTGCCCTGGACCGCTGTGCCCCCAGGAGGCAGATGAGGCCCCTGGAGGCTGGCAGCAGGGGGCAGGGGCAGGCGGCGGGCCACGCTGAAGGCTGCCCAGCGCCAGGGTCTGACTTGCCCTTCTACGCGTGTTTTCTTGTTTTTAATCAATACGTTTTTCAAGAGTGACAGTCCCTGGCCCAGAGCTCAGGCAGCTTTGGGCGGCCGTCTCCTCCGGAGTGAGCTGACCTGGGCTTGGGATCTCCCCCACTGGGATGGGTCCGTGCCTGCCAGGACTTGCAGCCTCCCCTCCCTCCTCCCGTGCCCAGCCCTGTTCTCTCTCCATCCAGCATCACGATAACTAACCAACCACAGCTGATTTTCTCTGTCTTTCCAGGGGGATTCTGGACAGGGCTGACCAGAGGGGGCCTCACCCCCCTGCGGTGGAGTCGGGGGCGGGGGTTGGGAGGGCAACTCAGAGCCTGGCTGGGAACCCTGAGCCCACCTGTTCCCCACCTGGGCATCCAGGAACCACTGGCACTGCCTCTCCTCTAGCTCTCTGGGGGGACCCTAAGGCTCAGGGGCTCCACAGGAAGTGGGGGAAGGCCTGGAGCAGCCCTGCACACATGGGACCAGGTCCCAGGTGGACGAGGTGGACGAAGGGGATGGGGCAGCTAGTCTGCTACATGGCAGGTCGTAGGGCCCAGGTGTCCAGGTCCTGCCTACAGTGGCCCGGTGACACTCAGGGCCCAGCCACCCCCGCCCCAGGCAGGACCCCTTACTCCCCACAGCGAGCCAGCTCACTTGGCCTTGAGGCTGAGGCCTCCACCCACGCCCACCCACCCCAGTGCCCGAGAGCCTTGTTGCTCCCTGACTTGCCCGCTACGTCTCTGGGGGTGTCAGTCGAGGGACCCTCTGATAGGCCTTGGAAGGTCCCCCAGGCCCCTGACAGGGGACCTAGGAGAAGGAGATGGAGGAGCAGGGCCCGGGGCTTCTGGCCCATGGCGGGGACTCTACCTGGTGCACAGCCTCGGTGCTCTGGCCTCTGGTCCTGACCTCGGCGCAGGGTTCCTGGCGAATGGCTGTGGGAGGAGGCAGCCATGAGCACAGGGGTCTGGGTTCTGCCTGACATGGCTCCTCCCCAGGGCAGTTCCCTGCAGTTCTGGGGCCCTGATCTCGGGCCGGCTTCTCCCGAGGCTCACACCGCCCCCTTGCTCTCAGTGCGGTGACTGCTTTTGCTCCGTTCCCTGACCTCTGATAAAACGGGCCCTTACTGTGCAGACCCGGGATTAGCACGGCGATTCCCGCTGGGTTACAGACCACATGGCTTGCGTAAAACCTCAGAGATGGAGGCCAACCATCCCTTACTGGTGGACCAGACACTCCAAGGGCAACGGTGGACACAGTGGGTTAGTGACAGGATTGCCTGGCCCTGGGAGGCCCTGGTGATGTTTTGTGACCCTGGATGGCCCTGGGTGACTGAGCCCTGGGGCTGGTCCCACCTGATCTCATCACATCCACCGTCAGGGCTGTGGGGACACTCAGAGACCAGCAGAGCTGAGGTCCCCTTTCTGGGGCGATGAGGAAGCTCTTTAGGGCCTCATAACACAGGGACTGGGCAGGATGCATCCTTCAGATAGGGTGCCGCGTCCTGGGCCAGGTGGACACACGGTCCTAGAACACTCTGAATGGCTCTGTCTTTTCACTGCTACTCAGCTGAGCATAAAAAGACGTGAGTCTAACCCAGGCTTTCTGACGGGAGGGACGCTGGTGGGACGGGGCTTCCTAGGACTACGGGGTTCCTAAGAGTTGGGGGCTCCCTAGGAGTCCAGGGGACTTCTTAGGAGTGGGGGGGCTTCCTAAGAGTTGGGGTGTCTCTGGGAGTCCAGGGGACTTCCTAGGAGTGAGGGGATGAGAGGACTTCTTAGGCATGGGGGGCTTCCTAGAAGTCGGGGGGCTTTGTAGGAGCGAGGGGGCTTCCTAGGAGCTGGGGGGCTTCCTAGGTGTGGGAGGGGCTCCTGAGATCGGCTTCCAAGAAAGCTAAAGGACCTGGACTCATCTGCAACCCCAAGAGGATCCCACCTCTCCCCTCTCTGATCCCAGCCTGCGGCTGCCTCTTGGCGGGGACAGGGAACTCAGGCACAGCAGGCTGCAGGCAGCTCCTCCCTGCCATCTCTGTCCTTCCGGCATGTTCTGGCACATTTCCCGGGACTCAGGTCACAGTCAGCCCCAGCCCCTCACGTCTGGCCACTGGAGGGCAGGCCAGGGCTTTGCTGCCTCAGTGTCCAGGGTCAGCCAAGCTGGGGCTGGCTGGGCTGCACTCACTGTCCCTGGGGCCTGGGCATCTCCCTCAGGCCCACCTTGGCTGTCACCACATATGCTGGGGTGGCTGCGGCTGGTCCTGAGGCTGGAGGACGGCTCCTTCTCATGGAGCCCCTGGACCTCCAAGGGTGTGTCCACAGACATCTCTCTGGATTCCCTGAGCCAGGAGTCGGCCTCGATGCCTGACGTGTGGGAGCTGCCATGGCTGTCGGTGGAGTGGCGTGACAGGCGGTGAGGGCAGTGCTGGCTGCTGACCCCGCTGCCCGGGGAGCCCCTGCTGTCCGGGTCCAGCTCCAGCCCATCGCTGATGTAGGACTCCCGGTAGCGCTGCTTCTCTGCAGGGAGCACAGTGAGGACGAGCTGGAGAGGGACCATCTCCGCTGATGCAGGAGGAAGAGCCCGGGAGACAGAAACGCACACCCACAGCTCAGATGAGGACGTGGAACAGGGAGGGAGACCAGGCCTGTGGGTAAACACTGAGGCCTTGTCGGAACCTGCATTTCTTGCTCTTTGTGGGCACATGATGGGAGGAGAGGTGGGAAACAGACCAGGAAACTGAGAAGTGGAAACCTCAGGCGGCTCCTCAAGCCCTCAGCCTCCCCCAGCCCCATCTATAGAATTCCACTCTGGGTAGAGCTGGGGGGCCACCACCTCGCCCTTCAACCTAAGCATCTGGGGGATGCGGGAGCCAGGAGGCCACAACAGTGAGAGACAGAGGTGCAGCTGGGCTGCAGAGCCCAGCGCGCCCAGCCCAGCCCAGAAGGTGTAGTCTGGCTGCGGAACCCAGTGTGCCCAGCCCAGCCCAGAAGGCGCAGTCCGGCTGCGGAACCCAGCGCGCCCAGCCCAGCCCCACCTTCTGCCTCCTCCCGCTGCTGCAGCTGCCGCAGTGTGGGCCGCACGCGGAGGTGGAGCTGGTGGCTGGCGCGCAGCAGGTGCAGCAGGTGCCTCGAGCGCCAGGTGCAGCCCGTGTAGTAAACCAGCTTCTGTGCTGCAGGCAGCCCGTCCAGCTGGATCTCCAGCTTCTTCCCCTGAACAAACAGGAGAGAAGGTGCCACGCCACAGGTGGAAAACCACGCTGGCAACAGGAAAGGATGATTTTAAATGTCAGCCATGGCCCCCAGGGGGATGGGGTTTAGGTTTTCACTTTGCAGTGCAGACAGCTGTTCACGGGCACTGTGCTCAGGGCATGCTCTGCTCTGCCCTTGCTTGAGAGGACACAGCCCTCTTGGCTAGAAAGTGCCCGCAGCTGCGTGAGGGGAGCGGAGGTCCGGGGTGGGATGGGAAGACCTCGGTCTGGTTGTCCAGAGCAAGCCTGCTGCCCAGCAGCCCCCACAGTCGCTGCCCTTTTACGCCTGGCACCCGGGCTGTGGGGTGGCCCTGGGTGACAGCTCTGGGGCCGAGACGAGAGGCACAGAGGCCACACAAGTGCGTTTCTATGACCTGCTCTTATTTTCTCCCTTGGTTTTCTCAATTGAAAGCCAGAAGTTTTCAAGCGATAACAACAACTAGACCTCACCGGGCAGCTAAACACCGAATGCCTGCAGGGCCAGGGTCAGGCACAGAGCCCGTGAGGCCAGGACAGCCCTGAGGCTCCCGAGAGGCCGGCAGGAAGGGACCTGCACCTCGTCGGGAAAAAATGCCCAGAAAATGCCCCAAGGATGAAGCTGCACCTGCCTAGGCTCTCCTGGGCACGGGGACCCCGCAGACACCCACCAGAAATGCCAGCTTCCCAATGTGGGGCCAGGGGAGGTCGTAGAGCAGCTGCGGAGC